TATTTATTTATAAAGTTTAAAGCTTTAAAAATAGTGTAAATCGATAGATCTATGAAAATTTGAAAATCTTAAAAATTGACGGTCCAAAAATGCATTATGAAATTCACTATTTCCAAAACTTGAAATCCATTTTTTTCGCATGTCCATACATCTTGATATTAAGATAATCAATTTGAAAATATTTGAACATCAAAACAACCTCTTCTAGTTAAAATTTTGAGGTAGGCTCAAATTCGATTGTTTAGAGCCTCGGTTCTATATAAATTTTTCCTTTTTTTTAATGTTAAACTCTTCCTTTTTCCCGTCTCTACTCTCTTTAAACTCTTCCTTTTCCCCCTCTCTCTCTCTATTATGTAGAAACGCTGTTCCCACATGTAAAAGCTAAGAAGTTGAGGATGATGCGGCAAATTTTCATTGAATGGAGAAGCTTTTATAATTAAAACAAAAAACTTTTGTTGATGACGTGACTATCGAACACTTTTTATAACAGAATCTTGAAAGCAAATGAGATTAATGGATATTGGAAATATAGAGAAATCGATTGGGTTCTTTAGAGATAGACACAAGCTGGATGGTTTGGCATTTTTTTTTTTTTTTTAAGAGAAACTTAGTACTGGTATTAATCATAAGCTAGAAAGAGATTAAAGTATCTGAAGTTAAAAAAGACGGAAGTATCAAACCACACTTTACAAGATGATCGGTAAACACATTAGCCTCACGAAAAACATGTACAAACAAAGTATCAAGAGTCTAGCCTCACGAAAACCATGTACAAACAAAGTATCAAGAGTCCTAGACAAATCCCAGATTTGCAGCAAGGTGGACCTAAGCTTCCAGGAGGGCCTATGAGTTCCATTACACCAGTTAATAACGTTCAGTGAATCCCTCTTCGCAATACAGAACTGGCCAAGTTGCCTTTCAGTAAAGATATTTAAGCCATGAAGAAGGCTCTGCATCTCCGCATAGTTGTTCGTTCTGTCCCCAAGGGTCCAGTATAAAAAAACACCACCATACCATTCCAGTCTCTTAGAGCACCTCCAATGCTAGCCGAACAGGGATTTCCAAAAGAGCTTCCGTCAAAATTGAGTTTAAAAGTTCCCTCCAAGGGGAGCACCCATCTACCCTTCGGCCTACTTTTGAAGATATTTAAATGGAAGATGATTGAAAGGTTCCTCTTGAAATCAACTTCCAATATATCGGATCGATCCTTCGACACAGAGCAGAAGAGCCACAGCTCACGAAGAATACTTTCCAACACCTTTGCAAAAGGTAGGCTGACACTATCGAAAACCCTACGGTTCCTTTCCTTCAAACCTCCCAGAGAATTAGACCTCTCGCCATATGCCATAAGATCAAGCCAACCTTGGGCAGGGGAGTCTACAAATTAGAGATGATCCCAAGAACATTAACGGGCATCACCAAGGCAAGACCAAGTTCATAAAAAATTCAGTACCTGATTCGAAAAGTGAAAGTGCAATGAAGAAGAGGTGCAGCCCTATTTCAGCATCCAATTTACACAGTAAGGCTAGTCGTTCGTATGTAATGGTAAAAAAATAGGGCTAGTCTTTCGTAGGGGTGGCAACGGGTCGGGTTCGGCTGGACTCGATCTCAAACCTAGATAGGTTTTGGATGCGGATCTGACCCGTCGGGTCTCGAGTCTAGTCTATTGTCACCTTCATTATGAGCTTCATCTCTTCTTCTTTTTTTGCCATTTTTCTACCATTACATACCCATATTATTGGCAACAAGGTCACAATCATGTATCATTAGGTCCAACAGTTTACTGGTTGGGTACAAGTCAGGTCCAAGCGGACCCAAATCCAGACCCGAATAGTGCCCAGGTCCAAGTTTTAGACTCGAGATCGACCCGCCGGGTCAAACTTTGGACCCATATCCAGACCAATATTGGGTATACCTGACGGGCCCCGAGTTGGATCCGGGTCATTGCCACCCCTAGTCTTTTGACCTTTGGTATTCTAGAGAGAGAGAGAGAGAGAAAAGGGTATATAGCTATATTTTGACAGGTGGTAATAGTTCTTTCCAAAACACCTGTTTTAAAGGAATACAATTTAATCAAGGGTAAAGAAGAGATTCCACAAGATTATCAAGAAGCTTCATTATCTTTCTCCTAAGTTACAGTTATTGTTATTGTTAGCTGCTCCGAATTCTCTACATATAGTCATCTTCTCCTTGGTTGATAACACTCATATGAGTATTAAAATATAAATAATAATATTTTAAGGGAGATTATTAATTAATTTTGAGAAGTATTATTAATTTTTTAATTTTATTTTATATTTAATGCTTATTCCCTAAATTGATAGAGAAAAATATAAACTTCAATTGCAGCAAAAATAGAAATTGTATTTTTTAGAAAGATTGCAATTAATTTAGTTTTTTTGACAAAGGAGAACCTTAAAAATTATGTATATATAAGTTTTTTAATATTATTTTTATTTTACCATTGATTTCTTGTTATACATCTATCCGTTTTCCATCCATTATTACAAATTTGCAAACCTGCAAATTTCTCAATGACTAAATTGGCCTTTTTCAGATTTTCAAAATCCATGATAAAACTTTCGAATGTTCAACATTTGAAAATTTGTATTTTAGAGTTCCCTAAGATTTTCAAATTTTAGAAATCCAAAAATTGTAAATAATAATAATAATATCGCCAAAATTTTGTTTCCCAAAAAAAAGTGTCCTACAATTATGGGTTTTGAAAATCCAAAATTTATTTGAAAATTAAAATTTGGGGATTTTAAAAATCCAAAAATTTCATCTTAGCCTCCCAACAATTTCAAATTTTCAAAATCCAAAATTTATTTGAAAAATGAATTTTTGGGTTTTCAAATTTCAAAAGTTGCATCTTAGCATCTCTGAATATTTTCGAGTTTCAAAAAACAAAAATTTACATTATAATTAAATTTTTAAATTTTAAAAATCTAAAAATTGCATTTTCCTACCGGGTCATATATGTTTGTTAAATTCAGAAATCCATCATTTTGAATCACATAGATCCGATATTTTTTTATTGATTTTGGATATTAAAGATCATAAATGTTGGCAATTTCAAAACTACCAAAAAAATGAATATAGATGTAATACCAGTAAATTACAAGACAATTTTAAATAATAAGAAGTAAAATAGTTGTTAATGTAATTTTCTCTGGTTTTGTATTAGGAATGGGACCGGGACCGCTGAGTGTGGCCCATTCTTACATTCGCAGCCATCCATCTGATGGAGTGTTGATTACACTGATGCCAACGTCTTCCTTTTCAGTCATGTGTCAAAGGATAATAAAGACAAGGACAAGGAAAACTATGTCAGTACCGCATTTAAACATGGTAACTATGGACTCGTCCAACGGAAAAATTATCCATTATTTACAAGATTGGTCCGGTGGGTTTTTTAATAACACCCACGTTCTTTCCTTTTTTTCTATTTTGTCCCAAAATCTGACTTATTTTTTATTTATTTTTTTAGTTTTGTTGAAGTGCAAGGACTGATCCGATGTGAAAAATATTATGCCCGCCCGTCCCTCATAATTTTTTTAAAATAGATGGTCACAAAAAATAGGCCGGTCCGATATTACCTGCCCTCCGTAACCTTTTCAAGACATTTCGAGTCTTTATGTCCTAGGGGGTCCGCCTGACCACAAAGACCTAGTGTACCACAAAAACCTTTAAAATTTGGCTAAATGTAATAAAGTCTAAGAGCTTACCATTTTGAAATAGCAAGAGAGCGCTCATGGGATCAAGAAAATAGAAAAAAAAATTAATTACGAAAACATTTCTGGTCCAGCAGACCACCAAAACATAAACTGGGTTTAAGATTGATAGGCTTTTATTGTTTTCTGAGGTCAGGGAGTCTTTGGTATGATGTCTTGAACATCAGTACGCTTTAAAAAAATATATAAAGAATAGGGTGGTCTGACAATACAGTACAGACAGGTCCCTACATTTCAAGAAACTTTTAAAATAAAATAAAAATGGTGCTACTTCCAAGAACATAAAGATGATATGAGGTAGACCAAAACAAAAATTAAATAACAAAGAACACTTAAAAAGTTAAAAGGAATACAATAATAAGTTGAGAGGGCTATCAACACTTCCTATTTAAAAAAACAAAAAACAGAAAACGTCAGTGACTAGTTCAATGTGTACACTATAATAACCAATTAACTCTCATGGCCAATTTAGATTTTATAGTTTTCGGCAAAAAAGTTTAAAAAAAATTTATTGGAAAGGGATTGAAGAAAAATAAGCTTTTATGGTCTTCGTTTAAATCAAAACAAAGCAAAAACTAAATTTAAGTGGGATTAATAATTAATTTTCTTTTACATTTCAAATAAAAATATATGCTTAAATTGCAGCAAAAATAGCAATGGTCTATTTCAAAAAAAAATTGTGATTTCTTTAGTTTCTTGACAAAGGATAGCCTCGTTGTTCTTTTAATCAGCAATGGGACCCACCATGACCTCTGAGGTGGGGCCCATTCTTGATAACTGTCATTTATTGGTGGGGTGGTGACTACTCATGCGGTCATGCCCACCTTTTTCCTTGTGGGCATGTGTCGTAGAATAATAAAGGCAAGAGAATTAGTAAATCACCAACCAACAGTAAGCACATTGATACACTCCATACATCAAAGTAAAGCAAATTTCAGATTGTAAATATAGACTTAGTCACCTAAATAAATAATTAAAAAAACATATTTTTAAAAAAAAAGGATTGTATACAATGAAGTCATTTACTTTTAGAATATGAAGGTCATAATTACTTACAACCATCTGATGTGAAATCTAATAGCTTGGATGTATCATAAAATTCGAAAAAAATTCTATTGAACTTTGAGCTTGATCAATGAAATAAATGTAACCACCCAATTTCACACCCAATAGTCAAGATTCATTGTGACCACCTTGTACCAAAGGTAAATGTTCTCATTATATACTTTCCCTAAAAAAAATTCAAAAGAAACTACAAAATTAAGATTCACATTAATCTCAACTTCCATAAAATAATTTTAACTTGTACTACATGCTCCCAAGCAAGAAGATCTCTTAATAATTCTTCACCATCTCTTTCACCACAAAACTAAGAAGACTCATCCTAAACCATCAAAAATATAAAATAAGTAACAAGAAATATTATGAACATCAAATAAACAAAAAATATCAAGCCGCTTCTTCATCATTTATAGAAATGCAAGAAAGCTCTTAGATGAGGAAGATTCAACATTGGATGGCAATTTGTGAGCTCCCATATGACCACCCAATGCTTGAGAAGATTTAAAAGCACAATTCACAAATCCTGCATTATAAAATTTGATTTCATTGTTCTCTCTCTTGTTTTCTTCTGAATTCAACTTTGAACAAACTTCTCTTGGGGGGGGGGGTGTCATGTGGCCCCCAAGGGCCTAACCGGAAGCGAAACTCTTGCTTCAAAAAATACATCGGTGGCCATCATTAAAATCTTAAACACAGTCGTTAAAATATTGAGAATCTTTAGTATTACCGTTGCCAAAATATTGAGTTATTTGATTACGCTCAACAGCATCTTCTAAATCTTGAGCGTGGTTACCAGAATAATGCTGCTAGAATATGTTAAGAGAAGGATGTGAAGAGTCTTGATGGGGTAAGGAGAAAGAGAATTGTGGAAATGGGCTGAGAGCTAATAAAATTATCTTAGTATGAATAAATGGCAAGTGATAAAAAAAGGGGATCAATGATGGGGTTGAGGTTCATAAAGAAAAAGAGTGTTAAGGAGAGTGGTTGGTAGGTATTGAGATGGTCTTTTGAGTTCAAACGGGTAGCAAGAGTATGGCCTTAGAGAGACGTCCATTGAGTCCAGAGAGAGAGTAGGTGTAATGTTTCTGTGAGAGGCACTACTGTTTCAGAAAGGAGAGGGTTTAGGACTTGTGGAGAGATTGAGAGAGGGAGAGGGATGTCTATTGTTTCATAGAGAGAAACAGTTTAGGACTTAAAGATAGATAGATAGATAGAGAGAGAGAGAGAGAGAGAGAGAGAGAGAGAGAGAGAAGAATGTCGTCCGTAGAAGAGAATGAGTATACTATTATTGACTATAGTAAGTACTAAAGTTAGGTAGGTTAGGATGGACGGTACTAAATTTTCTAGTTAGGGGAAGG